AAACAGAACTTTGTTATTCCTGGCTCATTTTTCCTGATTGAGGAGTCATATGAAAGGGCAAAAATTGAACTTTCTTGAAATGTGATTTTCTCCTTGAAATTCAGATACCGCCCGCCAAATGACTTTTGGTTTCCTCTCTTCAAATTGCTTTTAATCAATAAGTAATAGGTAAATAACTAACTTTGCCCACACACATTATGTTTTCGTCCTACAGTTCTACGAATCCCTTTTAATAATGTCTTACGTTTTTTCCTTCTAATTTTAGTATGTTTTCTCCTCGATGCTTCGCAATTAGGAGTCGTTTTAATGACTGAGATACAACGTTTTTATAAAGATTCCCTTTTTTTCTATTTAATGTGTGTTTCCAGGTGATTTTAATTCATTTGAGACTGAGTACACAATGGAATACAAGGATTTTTGATTTCAAGCTCAAGTTGAATACTCTAAGGCAGATATAGAGCACTCTCTTTCTCTCTCCTCGGGCTCTCTCTGTATCTTTCTCTCTCTCTCTCTCTCTCTTCTCTCTTTCTACCTCACTCCTTCCATCTCCTCTCCATTTATTTTTTCTTTCTTTGCCTCTATCAAATAATAAGAACCCAACTCTGATTTGTTATTCGTATATGATAAAATGTTAAATTTTATTCTTTTAAAACTAATTTCAGCCAGTCAAAAGCTGAAAGAAACGCAACCTGTACAGCTTCCTATATACCGATGTACATACAGAATATTTTCTATAAAAACAATGAATAAAAAGAAAAGGTTAAAAAAATGAAAAAGAATAAAAGAAAATATATCGATTTTTGAACGTCCCAAAGTTAGCCTTGTGTTGGTCGCTTCCTAAAATCACTCAAAAGTCACATTGTTTAACTTAATCAATTTTGATAAATCCAAAACTTCGTGCGAAACAAAAACGAAAATAAATTCAACAAAATCTGTTTACAAAACCCGCCTCCAGTGCATAAAACAATTTAGTACCGCAACCGCAACAACAACATAATAATATACTAAAATAGCACACAAGCACTTCGGTTCTCTGTCAATTTGACAACAATATCCTACCTTCAAATAAATACACAAGCAAGAGGTAGGAAAATAAAATACTGGTCTATATCATGGAAAACTTGAACTTACATTAAATATTTTTGAGGGTATGAAGCCGTAAATCAATGTTGGTGTTCATTTTTGTGTCTGGAATTGAAAGCATTTCGGTAGGCTCTACCATGGGCGGTAAATCTCGCCGAGGAACAGATCACCTTATATACAAGTATGTTAAAAATTATACTCTTACTATAACATATTATATTTCACATACTAAGAATCTAGCTCTACGATTGGTCAAAAGTAAATCACGTGATGAAAGATAGTTCGCCCATTACGATGGGAGAAGAACAGTTCGTTGCACTGTGTAAATAGTAGCACTATCTACACAGTGCAACGCACTTTCACTGAAGATAGAAGAACTATCTACACAGTGCAACGCACTTTAATCGTATACGTTGCGTATTGCTCTCCTCTTTAAGCGCTTTTAGTGTCAGTACGCGAACTTTGATCAAGTGCGAACTATGGTCACACCACCATTTGCTAGCTGTTAATTGATGACTTGTTGCTCTAAAATGACGGAAGAAGTGAAATGATTCCGATGTGGAATATAAAGCAAATATTTACCGTTTGTGAAGGTGATTGGACAAACTATCACTATCAATATCGCCTCGGAAGTGATAGTTTGTCCAATCACCTTCACAAACGGTAATTATTTGCTTACTACACATTTGGACTATTTGATTAGTGACAAGTAGTTCTTTGGGTTCATTATTCGTGATACATTGTCCCAGCATGTCTAAGCAGTTGTTGTCCGAGAGTAGCCGTCCTTAGGTGTAGTTGTCCGAGATGTACATTTACATTGTATGTCATCAGTTCGTCACTCTTCAGGATTATGTCGTCCCTTTTTTTAATTTTGATATTTTTCCAGGGTTACCCGTAGGCACTTATCCTGGGGGACATAGTACATGGCGTATTCGAACACCTACCCCCTAGACACCCACCCCGGGTAACCACCCCTAGGATAACCACCCTTTAGGACAACAGTACCGCCTTAGGCAACCAGCCTCTAGGATGACTATCCCCTAGGACAATTAACCCCGGATAACTACCCCAAGACAACTATCCCTAGGACAACTACCCCCTAGGACAACTACCCCCAGACAACTACCCCCTAGGATAGTTTCGCGGGGGGAATTGTCCTAGAGGATAGTTGTCTAGGGGTAGTTGTCTGGGGTAGTTTTCCTAGGGGTATTTGTCTGGGGTTAGTTGTTCGGGGATAGGTAGTTGTCCTAGAGGATGGTTGCCCTAGGGGATAATTGTCCTAGGAGGAAGTTGTCCTAGAGGGTGGTTATCCTTGGGGTGGTTGTCCGGGGGTGGTTTGTCCACAGGGTATATTAGGTGTATTAGAACTAGTACAGGGTTATGTGTATTGAACTGATAATAGGAGGGGTCGTTGTCCTGATACACTGTTCTAGGATGTCGAAAGCGAGGTTGTACGGAGAAATGGTCCGAGAGTAGCGGTCCTCAAAGGGAGTTGTCCGAGAGTTACAGTCCAGTGTCTAGTCTTGTGGATACGTTCATGAATGTGCCATTTCATCACGTGGATTATTTCTTCAATCATTTTGATGGGGTAAGTTGTCCAGGGTTAATTGGAGTTGGGTGTTCCTATCTTGGGGTGAATGTACGGAGGCAGTTATTCAGGGCTGATTGTCGGGGAAATGACAGTACTAGTCCGTATTTAAATTGTCTAAGGGTGACCTCGTGGGAAGATGTCCGGACTAGTCGTCTCGAAAACGTACAAGATAAAGTACATTCTAGAGTGACTACACATTCGTCACCATTCGAAGGCTATCTTCAATTAGTTTCAGAAGATTGAGTAGTTGTCGGGAACAGTTGTCATATGCAGTAGCTTCCAGAGGGTATCTGGGTATGTTTGCCCTGGCGTGATAATATGGATTGGTTATCCTAGGCTTATAGTCGGGATATTAGCAGTAGTCCGGCTACATTGTAATAGATTGACCCAGGTGGAGGTAGTCTAAGGAAGTTGCCCTAAATAAAAGTAAATAAGTAAATACCCCTGAGGGTAGTTGTCCGGTCGTGACAGTCAAGGGCATTGGTTGGCTAGCCGATAGTGTACATTATAAATATCATATAGTTTCGTCACCATGGACAAGTATAACTGCTTGAAGGCTATTTCGTAAATCTTTTGGGGAGTAGATTTTGGGGGTTATTAAAGGGATAGTTTTCAGAGATAACCGTCCTTGGGGCTCTTATCTTTGGAGGTATTGGTCCTGGTGTAATAGTCCGGAGTGATGTTTTGGGCTGATAGTCAGGGGAGGGGAACTCGTCCAGACACATAGTCCTAGGGTTGACCTAAGAGAAGGCTGTCCAGAAATACTGTCCGGTCATAACCATCCTAGGGATAGTTGTTCGTGGATAGTTGTCTGGATAGTGTATATTCTGAAGTGAGTCAAATTTCGTCACACTTGAAGCCTATTTTGTCAGTCAAGTTTAATAGAAGTCGATGTCCAATTAATTAAGTAATTATGTAACTGTCCTAAGGAGCAGTTTCCTTCGTCAGCCCTTGTACTTGGGGATCCTAGAATCTAGGTGATGGTTCGAAAGTTTGTCCTTGGTTGACAGTTAGGGAGGGCAGTTGTCCTGAAAAATTATTACGGGGGGGGGGGGACGCAGTTGTCCTGATACATTGTCATGGGGGGGGGGGGGTAGGCAGTTGTCCTGATAAATTGTCATGGGGGAGGCAGTTGTCCTGATACATTGTCATGGGGAGGCGCAGTTGTCCGAATACATTGTCATAAGGTGTCCTGTGGAAAGGTGTCCAGGGTAGTTGTCTGAGAGTAAGAATACACAGGTTTTGATATTCGAGGATAAATGTCCTCAGCGATAGTTATCCGGGGTAAAAAGTCCTGAGGGGCAGGTTCCCGGGTTAGATTAGTGTCTCGAGTCGGTAATTGACTTTAGAGATAGTTGTAACAGAAATAATGGTCGAGGGTGCTTCCATAGCTCGACAGTCGGAGAGGAAGAGGGGCAGGCTTAATACAGCTTTGTACAATGTCATAGGTTTTCTTGGGGGAGGTTGTCTTAACAATTAGTCCAGAGGGAGGCCGTCATAGGAAGTTGTCAAGGAGTAACCGACCTCAGTGGGAGTTGTCCAGCTTTTCCCCTTCAGTATTATATTCAATAAGTGCATTCAATTTCGTCATCATGGAGAGCTATTTCGTCAACATGGAGAGCTATTCCGTCGATGTTTTTTTTTTAATTGGGCGAGTTGTCAGGGGTGATGGTTCTAAGCAGTAGTTTTCGAGGAACGATAGAGCGGAGTGTCTGTCATGGACTATTATCCACAGGCAGTCGTTCTAGGACAGGTTGTCCGTGAAAGTTGTCTTTGGGGCAGTTCTCCGTGGGTTGTACTCCTGATGGTTAGTCGCCTGATAAGCTTTGCATTCATGCGAGCATTTAATAACTTCGTTACTCTTCAATCACCTTTGTCTTTGATGAGGGACAGTTGTCCGGGTGTAATTATCGGAGAGGTAGTTTATTGGTGGTAATTTTCATAAGGGGTGATTGTTCGAGGTAGTCTTTGGGGGTACTTGTTCCGGGCTGACAGCCGATGGAGGTGCAGTCTTCCTGGGCAAAATAGTAGTGGGAAATCGTCCAGGGGTAACTTTTCTTTGTCTTATAAGTCATGGAAATGTAGTCCAGAAAGTAGTTGTCCAGGGGGGGGGGTGTTTCACAAAGATCCTAAGTTGAACTTATCTCTAAGTTGGACTTAAACATTATGGAATGCCGTTAGCATCATTGAAAATATTTTGTAAAAGTTATTTAAAAGACATTAAATGTTGAGTCAAAACATTCATATTTTCAATTATCAAGGAGATTTCAATGTTATTGATGTGGAATTTATGAAAAGTCTGAAATACTTGAATTTTCGCGTTTGAATATATTTTATTTTAAGGCTACAAATGGCTCTCCATAATTTTAAGTCAAACTTAGAGATAAGTTCAACTTAGGATCTTTGTGAAACACCCCCCTGGTGTGTAAATTCAAGCGAGTATTAACTCTTTTCATTTTCTTAACGATTTTCAATCGATCATCTAAACTATTTATTCAAAAATTAGAATAAAGACATAATGCAAATGTTAAAAACTAAAATACTCTTTAAAAAAAATCATCATTTCGCATTATGGAAATATCAAATGTTTTGAAGCCGCTCTAAAGTGTTGGGAGCCACACAATTCGATGGCAAAATTTCACTTAAATTGTATCATGATGTGAAAGGTGATGTCATTTAAGACACATTCCTACAAGGATTTTAAAAAAAAATGTGTTTGAAGTCGAATATTGATTGAAAGAATACAAGATTTAGGTTTTCTGCCAACAACAGAAAACCAAAATGATGTAATCTTTTATCAATATTTGTCTTCAAACACATTTTTGTTGGGGAAATCTTTGCAGAACTGGTCTAAAATGATATCCTCTTTCACATAATGATACAATTTGAATGAAAATTTTCCATAAAATTGTAGGCGAATTTGAGGCTCCCAACACTTTTAAGGGGCTTTAACACTTTGTTAGTTTCATATGCACGAACAAATTTGCAACGAATTTGCACCTTTTCAAGGTGTGAGCTAGATGTGGATCCCGTCTTTTAGACTCATTATGAGCAGCGATAATTACATATAATTTATAAGTCTTGCATTTCATAACGAAGTCTCTATTGAAATTAATCTACTGGGTTCTTGTCGATTATTAAATTCCTTCGTTGCCCTCTGTCTGCATGTGATTAGATTATGATTCTTTTTCGCGTTCAATTCCAAGGATTCTGGAGTTTCAATACCATTAACAGTAGAGCTGCAATGATTCGGGGTTCCTGCGCTATCTGAGTCGGTTTGATTTATTACAGCATTAGTTACCAACAGGTTTGGTCCTCGAGGCCCTGGGTACTGTATACCTTCGCTGGCCGAGGAACTCTCTGGGTTTTTTGAAGAATGGCTAGGTGAAGAGCACAATGACACATCTTCGCTACTGCTAGAAAAGTGATAGATTCTGTGTCCACGTTCGTGAAAAGAAGACTCCTCATGTTCAGGGTGCTCTTGGACTTCTGTAATGGTACTTAGCGAAGCATCTGCACCGGCCGACAACCGCGCATACAACACTTTGCAGTCCACCGGCCGTCCTGCATCAGAGAGTGTCCTCCGCAACGATGAGCGTGGCAGTAAATCCTGTATTTCGTCCTTCCCTAAGTGGCCCTCTGATGCAGAGGACGCTCTTCTCGCAACAACGACCTGAAGAACCTCGTCTTGCCCTTTCAAATCAAAATCATTACACGTGGGTACGGCGTTGTACTGCAAGCAGTTACTGGTTCTTGTCCGACTACGTGAGCCTGCGCTGTAAATCTTACGCGGTGCGCTGGTCGGGCCACATGGACAGTCTTGGCAGTACTGGCAGGAGAGGATCTTCTTGAAAGCCCGGCGAAATGTCATGTTGGACACCGCGTAGATCAGGGGATTCATGAAGCTGTTGCAGTAACCCAGCCAGAAGAATATGTTGAAGGCCAAGGGTGGGACGTAGCAACTAGTACAAGCAGAGGCTACAAAGTGAGATCAAAGTGAAAAAATAAAGAAGAGAAACAATATTGAAATATAGACTTTAACATAAAAACACAATTATTTACCTTAGGGTGACATTTTGGCAAAAACTAACAATTAGAAATCTGGCATTGAACCGTGAAAGATGTTTAGGATTTAAATGTGTGCGCATAATACAATGAAGAGGTGGGGGGGGGGGGGGGGGTGGGGTGGGGTTCAATTCTACTCAAAGTTAAACCACGCCCACTTTTTTAAAAATGAATCTATTCTTGTTAATATATAATTATTTCTATAGCATCCAAATGGGGAAAGGCAAAGTTAAGGCTTATTGGCGCTCAAATGAAACCATTTCAATTGTTGATCATGAATTATTGATATTCACTAGATCATCATTCCTACAAGTACGAATGAAACATGACACTGAATTACACAAGGGAGTTCAAGAAGGACCAATTACAATACTAACGCATGTTATCCCACAATTCAATCGTCTTGAGCGAACCTTGGAGAAATGTTAATAATCTTTTTGCTCAGAATAGAAAATGAATGAAATATTAGATTTCAATCGGGTAGGCTTTCTAAAAAAGTACAGGGTTTCTTGTGTTTTCGATCAGCTGCCAAATGCACAATGCAAATTAATAAGTCACCAAATGATATAAATTATTTTTTCTATTATATCAGTGTTTTGAACATTGTACGGCTTCTTGACGTCTCGTAATTATATTCTACTATTTTTCAGACTTGATTTTCACTTTAGCCTTTTAGAGTATAATGTCAAGTGGTAATTGATTAGTCGCAATGCCTTTAATGAGTGGTCAAGTCACTCAAGTGTTCTTCTTTTTCTCAAAACAAGTAAACATAGTCAAAAGCCGTCGAAACTTTGTTCTGGTTCTACAAGTAACACGGAAAACGTAAACAAGTCCATTAACCTTTCATAATGAAGTAAAAGGTTTTAATTGTATGTCTCTTTCTTTTGGATAAATACACGTATCTGACTTTTGTTTACATTGATTTTTTTTATTACAAATTTCATGCGGGTTTTTCTTTCATTCACTTAGCTGTTCTATGTAAATGTTTTGGTTTTCTGTTCTTCTTAGAGAAAACTTTCTTGCATGCTCTTTTTTAAAGGTCCCAACATTCGTTTATTATCATCGCATGTTCGCTGGATCATGTCCCCATTATCTGACATCCCCTTTTCTGACCAATCCTCTCTCTCTATAAAGTGCTCCCTGGTGCAAATAATGATAATGTTAATCATTTCTTATGAAGCGATCAAAGCCCTTATATACGGTTTTGTTATTACTCCGGTAATTTATTCAGTCACTATTTCGCATATTCTCCACTTCTTGGGGAGTATCGGAGCTATAGTAGGAGACCAGCTTGTAGGTCCCGTGACCAATCTCTGGGAACAAAGGTTTGAAAGTGTTTTTGTGTTCCCTGATGAATACCGAACAATTTTGACTTGGGCTGCCCCCTTGAAAATCCCAGGCATTTTCGTGAGGGGTCAACAAAGGTTACACAGGAATAGAAATTCAAATAGTTCCAATCGTGTCAATATGCATATCAAATTACTCGTCTGGTCATGAGGATTCCAAAAATGTATAGTTTGCTATACCTTCGACCTTAAATGAGGGCGCTATGGTCGAAAACGTTGAAAGGTCAACACACTTTTTGACTGGTGGTCAAATTCACTAACACACTTAACCTTATCAAATTGCATATCAAATTACTCGTCTTGCATAAGGATTCAAAAAATGTATGGTTTGTTATACCTCCGACCTTAAATGAGGGCGCTATGGTAAAAAAAAAGGTCAATGCACTTTAGAAATTCACCAACACGGTTAACATTGTCCGATTCTAACGATTTTAGGGTCTAATAATATTTGTTCTGACATGGCCAATTCAACTACACAACTTTCAAAAGTAAAAGTGCTTACCTTGACCATGAACATTCAAAATGGCTGCCGTTTCGGTGACAAACATCTAACAAATTCTTATCCATGGGATTGGGGGAAATTTCAAGGTTATGGCAACCACTTTTGATCTTAAAAGTTGCTTAGTTGATTTTTTATGTCAGAAAACATATTATTAGACACTAAAATCATTGGAATCGGACGATGTAAACTGTGTTGGTGAATTTCTAAAGTGCATTGACCTGTTTGACCATAGCGCCCTCCTTTACAGTCGGAGGTATAACAACCTATACATTTTTGAATTCCTTATGACCAGACGAGTAATTTGATATGCAACTTAATAAGGTTCACTGTGTTGGTGAATTTGACCACCAGTCAAAAGTGTGTTGACCTTTCAACGTTTTTGACCACAGCGCCCTCATTTAAGGTCGGAGGTATAGCAAACTATATATTTTGGAATCCTCATGACCAGACGAGTAATTTGATATACATATTGACATGATTGGAACTATTTGAATTTCTATCCCTGTGTGACCTTTGTCGACCTCTCACGATATGCCTGGGATTTTCAAGGGGGCAGCCCAAGTCAAAATTATTCGGTATTCGTCAGGGAACACAAAAACATGCTGGTTTCCTACTACTAGTCGCCTTCTTTACCGCAACGCCCATACAAAAGCCCAACGACAATGACGTTCGCATTTTACCGCATACTCATTTTAACACCTTGGTGGAGAGGGGCCATGAAGTTAAAATGCCTTGTTCAAGGACACAAGTGCCGCGCCTGGTCTCGAACCCATGACCTTTGTATCTCCATTCAAGAGCTCAAACCACTTGACTACGACACCTCTACGATTGATATCCTTAAATAGGGGCCGATAATAAGATTGCAAATTGATTTTAATGTATTGAAATTTAACGAAGCCCTGCGAACCCAAAGGGCGAAAAGGGGTTTGCAAAAGGCGGGAAGGGGATGTTTAAAACCGCGACTTGCAACGTATAATAGCAATTAGTGAGGGCGATCAATTTTCTTCAGTTTGGAATTATCTTCGGAGCCTAAAGTCTTGATGCTAAGGACATCGGGGTAAGAAACCAGAAACACACACACACAAAAGCTAAATTTATACCATGACCATTTTCTACTTACTTAAAGGAAGCAGGAAGAAGAATGGAAACCAGCACATGAAGAAGACGCTGACAACGATCCCAAGCGTTTTAGCTACCTTCTTTTCACGATTAAAGGTAACCGATCTTTGCGACGCAGTTCTGGAAGGCCTTAGGAGGCTGTTGGCCGAATTCTGGCGTTTTACCAGTTGATGTCCAGGAGGCGTCTGGACACTGCCTCTATGCATCCGCAGAACAACCCCATTGGGGCTACCTTTCTCTGAACTTGTAGATGGCGAGCCGTGAGACTTCCCACCATGTCTACTTTTGTATTCTACAGAAACAGTTTGGTATATGCGAATGTATAGGACTATGATGACAATTAATGGAATGTAGAAAGACCCAGAGACCGAGAAGAAGACATAATCTATTGAGTCTGAAAGCGGGCACTCTAAAGGGTCATCCTTGGGTGGTCTCCACCCAAACAACGGACCAACTGCAATGGCAAAAGACAGTATCCACACACCGACAATGACCAACAGCGCCCTCCTCGGTGTGACTATGAGTTTATGTTTCAGCGGCCTTGTAACACCAATGTATCTGTCGATGCTAATAACGCAAAGACTGACAATCGAGGCGGTACAGCAAAGAACATCTACCGACGCCCATACGTCACAAAACTTTTGACCGAATGGCCAGTAGCTAATTACCTCTAGGGTACCAGAAAATGGAAGAACGAGGGTTCCCAAGAGAAGATCAGCTACTGCTAAATTGAAAATAAAATAGTTTGTCACGGTGCGCAGTTTTCTTTCCATGAGTACTGCAAGAAGCACCAGGATATTGCCAAATATGACCGCCATAATGATGATAAGCAGTAGCGCGCTAGAGATAATGAGTCGTGGGATGTTGTAGACGAGTGTGCCATTGGTCGCGTTGGTGGCATAGTCCAGGAAGAAGTCTGACGACGAATCCCACGAAGGCGGTACATTCTGATCGGTGTTCGCGGAGTTTACAGTCATTGTGCAGTCATAACTGGATAAGATGTAAGGGCACGATATTCTCAGGAAAATATGTCACAGACAGCCTGCGGGAAAAGAGAGAAAATAGATAGAGAGTTCTTTAGTTTGAATATTTTAATATTTCACTAATCAATTTTGAATATACAGTACGGAAAATACTATAAATATCGGCATTCGATAATCTCACCGTGATTTCTGCGAGAAAAACGGAAAGGCTTCAATAAAAATGTTAGCTTGAAGGAAAATGCTCTATCCAAAAAAAATAATACAAATACTTGCAGACTCTGAAAAATGCATAAAAGTTGTTAATCTTTATTTTTTTAAAACAGGACTTACCTCCCAAATTTGTGAATGGTTTCCTTCATTGTGATGCAAAGGATAAACATTCTTTCGTACGTAAAAGTGTCAAGGTTTCATAAATTATAACCTTGAATAAATATATTCTGTAACCCTCAAGACTTTTCCTATGAATTCCTCCTCCACGAATAACCCTGAACATTTTACTCATAAAGTATTTCGTCATTGATCGTTGCCTATAACATCTTTGACGAATATCATAAACTGTGACGTGCTGTCCTAGGGCGTCTTAAGATTAATCAGCGCCTCGGGGAGGGTCATATTAGCTAATTGGAAGCCAAGAACATTCTCCGGCGTGGAGGTTGCCGATGTTATGACAACGTTTAATATATGATATGCCTCACAAATACCGGGCAAAAGTGCAAAAGAGGGGTAGCAGGTACTTTTCATTTAATGGGTATCTCACTTTATGGAGAGGAAATGAAATCTGCTTTTTGGACTCATACAAGGTATCATATCTTCTGGAGTCGAATCCGTTGGAAAGTAGTAGTTCTCTTGAGAATATAATTATTCCACTACTTTGTAGCTCGAATTTCGACACCAGATGAAGTGATACCTGATAATTATCACACCCCAAAAGTTGATTTCCATTTCTGTAGCTTCATACAGATGAATTGAACTGCTTTACGGACTTTACTGAGGAGGCATAAGCAAAGGATCATCGAGAAAATAAGACAATGATTTCCTGGCACAGATGATAAATTGAACAAAACAGTCTTGGGCGTGTTTACCTTTGAATGAGAACAGCAAGAAAGTGAAAACGGGTATCAGCGTATGTGTTTTTCGGTTTCATTTGTTGCAGCACAAAACAAAAGAAAATTTCTCAGCTTATCTTTACCTTCCTGACTAATTGACAGCAAAAAAGAACATTCCATGAACAACTTTCTTCTGAAATTTCATCGTCCACTGAAAAGGAAGCTTGTCAAATAGCTAAAGGCTGGAGATAAAAGTACTAGGATCAAGCAGCAGTTCTAAAGGTGTTTTAGGGGGGCTCAAGCACCCCCTCCCTGCCCCTAAAATAATCGCGAGAATGACGTATGTTCAATATGATTGCAAGATTCCCGAAGCCCACACCCCATACCTTCGGAAAGTCCCTCCAAGATTATTCTTCTAGAGACGCTTCTGCTAAGATCCATTTGTAACACCAGATAAAGGAGTGTCAAGGCTGCCCCCACGTACACCCTACGTCTTCAGCGCACTTAAATTAACTGACGCAAGTACCTCGTCAAGGTATATTTGTGTCTTAGCCTGTCAATTTGAGTGATTAAATTCTAAATTGTCGGTCGAAGCCGACTGGAAGGTCATGGTCCACTATCGAGAGTCTCCGTGCTATAAAATATCTTTAACGATGGCGAAACATAGCTATATTTTTTCGGGGAGAAAAAGAGAAGAAAAGTTAACCTATAGTTACAATGTCCCCTAAATCATGAAACTCAAAAATTAATCATCGATTTTTTTATGAAGATATTCGGGAATGTGTAGAAGGTTTGTAATGCTCAAATTAGAGGTGTTATGCAGTCGTGATTCTCAAACCTCCTCAGCCCCATTCCATCCCACCCCCCCCCCCTCCTCCCAAAAAAATATTAGTTATAAATTAATTTAAGTGAGGCACAAAGACCACGAAAAAATATTAATCTAATTTGCCACACTCTACCCAGGTACGGTCGTGAATGGGTGCTGGTAAGGGGATATCCTTGGAATGCTTCGGCGATTTCCTCAGGGCAGTCAGGCTACTGCCGGAATAATAATCCAGGCTGAAGCTTTCTTTATAAGTGTTCAACAAAAATGTAAGGTAAAGCAATATGCCTAGAATATCTTACAGTTAAAAGGAAAATAAATACAAAGTCACATCAATCGGCAAAAATTAAAGCCTACACGAATGGTCAAAATCTGAAAATAAACTATTTATCAATAGTAAACTAACACTAAGCCGCGATTGTGTTTTGCATTCGGGGTATTTATTTGAAGTATGACGTTTTGCTTTCAATTACATCATTTATTTTTTTTAATTTGAAATAAGTGGAATCTTTGAGGCGTGCAAAGCAATTAAATACAATAAAAAAGGATTTTCAATTAATACGACGACTTTAAAAGTTTTCACTTTCTCAAATACTTTTTCCTTGTAAGACATCCTGTATTGTGAATAAAAAAAGATTTGTACTGTCTCGTGGTCAACAGAGGAATAACAATAAACAGTAATGATTTGTGTGGGTTTAGGGCTGGTAGAATACAAATCGGATGTTTTCTACCAGTATTGTAATGAGCGTTGAATGATTCCGGTGATGTTTTTTAAGTTGATGGTTAACGCCGTAAATGTTTGCTAGACAATGTTTTGTGGCCATGTTTGATAAGTGTGCCTTAAAGGTAATACAAAGTTTTAGTACGGGGTCATGAATTTGGTTCAAATGAACATATTGGAAGCATATGCGGTCCTACAATATTCAGTGATCATTGTCGCGGTTGAAATCGAGTCTAAAGTTATGAAATTGTAAATAATTAACTCTTTATGTTGTATAGCTCCCTCTCAAGGTCAATATATAAATTAAGCTATAAAACAATGTTTCTTGACTAAAATATACCGATTAGTTGTTCCCGTTCGGAAATTATATATCACAGCTACACATTCTTAGATTTTCATGGTCGCAGCTACCATTGTACGGCCGTAGGCGCTATTTGAAATTTATCAAAATTTACCGGGAGCACCGGTAAATTTTTATATTCAATTTTTCTCAAAAGTAGAAGTAGTTTAGGGGCTAAATTTGCTAGTGCTTATATTACATCCACAGGGGCATCCAAATATATCAAAATTGTAAAAAATCATTATCCACCCAATTTTCAAAATTTCCCAAAACTTTGTATTACCTTTAACATGAAAGAAAAGGAAGGCTTTAAAATTACGCCCATTCGCAAGACATGATCTTTGACGTTACAACCAACCTTGCGACCTCAAAATAATTTAAGTGGTGGGCTTTACCATGTTAATTAACTATGTCGTCTGAATTACTTGAATCTCAGAAAGTAAGGAACAACGCCTATTTTTGCAATGAATGGCCTTTATCATTTCTATTTTCCTATTAATTCAGCAAATTTGCATCTAAAAATACATGCTATTGCGATATATAATCTTCGTGGAAATGAGAAAGCTCTCAATTTATTTGTTTATACGTTTTCCTTCTTTTAACTGAAATAATGACTTTGTTTTCTTCACTGAAACTTGTTTAAAGGGTCTGTCAAAGATAACGTTTTGCACACGTATGGCAGTTCAAAATGTTGATTAATTCAACCCGTGTCCGTAGAGTACCAAGCATAGGTGCTAGCAACTGATTCCCACTGGTTTCTGCTTTTTTTTCATATACCACACTAGTTCTTTATTTAGCAAGACCCCCGAAGTATGACCAAAAAGAAATTGGTTGGGGGATTGGTTCTGCTAAGAAGTGATCAAGCGAAGTAAACTTTGGTAGCTTGACTAAATGTCTTCCTATCAGATACTGAACGTTTCCATAGTGCTTTATTTAGCAGAGCAACCAAAGTATTACAAAAGTGGATGTTGTTATTAATACCATTATTGTTCTATTTACCCAACTTCGATGGAAGTTGGTCCTGCTGGGAATAAATCAAGGAATATCCATAGTAATATCAGACCCTCTGGAAAATTGAAATAGCGCGGACATCGTGACTGGAGACTCCCTAAGTGAGGCAGCTCCGTCCTATTTTCACGCATGTTACCCTGATGTACGTCACCTCTGCGAAGGAAACGAACTTTGCTCATCAAAAATTAATCACAGGATTTTTCATGAAGTGACTGTTGACAAAATATCCTCATATGGCGTGTCAATATTGATTCACACCTTAAGCATACCAGGCAAGACGACAGGGGACAGCGATAGGGTAGTCCTAGATGCCATGCAAACAGTGGACCGTAAATGAAACATACATCGAGGTTGTTCCCCGAGGTTCGGAGGGCTATCGAATCTCTGCTATACATTTCTTTACATGAATTGATATGATTAGCGATAGATAACCTATGGAGATGATGTAATCTTTTTACCAATGAAATGCGTATTATCAAGACTGTGAGTCACCAACATCATTATCATATTTATTAACCAATTTATAATCACATGTAACTCTTTGGCCTTTCCAAGACAGCCGCTTGAAAACTAGATAATAAAAGAAGACTTCTCTTCTTATTTGTCATTTTTGTACTACTTCCCACTTCCTTTCCTTTTCCATTAATTACTACCTTGTCCTTCTCTCACTGTTGGGAGTGTCGTGGTTTAAGGCACTGAATCCAATGACCGGGGTAATAGTATATTTGTAAAGCGCTTAGAGACATTTGTATTAAGCGCTATATAAAATTTAAATATTATTATTATTATTATTATTATTATTATTATTATTATTATTATTATTATCCGTCTGCACGCAACAAAACGGACAGATAGCCGACCAACAACCAAACGTTACAAAATAATCAACTCTTCTGATTGTGGGCGTCAACGGAAAGACACAATCTTCAAGGTACTTCGAGGACGTTATTTATTTCATTTTATTTTTAATATTCCGATATCAAATATGTTTTAGAAGATTCATCAAGTTTGAAAAAACAACAACATTGAACTGAGTTACGACATTTAGTTTATATGAAGTAATAGTTTGATATTAGTTTAATTTCACGTAAGTTTGATCTTAATCATTATACTGTCA